CTGCACGTCCCCCCCCCCATAGCTAGCAATCCAAAACAGTCCAGTGGAGCCTGAGCGGTGGGTGTCGCCTTCTGACACACTTCCGGTGATGTCAGGGGGTGTGGCATATGCAAATAAGTAAGGAGTCTCAAAGTAGCTTGCAACTGCCTTCCCTTCCTCTCCCTGCAACAGGCACCTTGTGACTCAGGTGAGGCTGAGAGTGCTGAGAGAATGGTGACTGGCCCACGGTCACCCAGCGGGCTTCAGGTGGAGGAGTGGGGAATCAAACCCGGTTCTCCAGATTAGAGCCTGCCGCTCTCACTCACTAAACCGGGGGTGGCCGAACTGCAGCTCGGGAGCCACGTGTGGCTCTTTCACGCATATTGTGTGGCTCCCGGCAGGGCGGCAGGGGAAGCGAAGGGGAGGCATGCCTCACCGATCGGTCTTCCCTTCCCCAGCCAGTGTTCCCCTCCCTGGGTAGGCTTGAGGTGGGGGAGAACAGAGAAAGGGAGCAACCTTAACTTTAAATGCATTCTCAAAGCCCCCCTCCCCCCAGCTGGCAAGTATAATTGGATAAATAAATACAGGGGTCATTTCCTGCGGGCACAGGAGTGGAGCTCCAGCAGTAAGGAGCCCAGGGGGTGGGCACATGCAACAAGCCCCACCCCCTGCTCCCAGCAGCCCTCAGTCGGGCCACGAGGAGCAAGAAGCAGCCAGGTAAGTTACAGAGCCCCCCCCCCCGGCATATGCAAATAAGTTATGCTAATGAGTTATGGTAATGAACTCCTGCACCTCTTTTTCTAAAAAATAGACCCCTGAATAAATATCATTATCAATATCTGTTTTGACCCCTTTTGTTTTTATTTCTGGCAGTCTCGTTTAATGTTAATAGAAAGCAAATTTGCATTATTTTCCAGTGAAAGATGTGTGTAATATGTGTTCGTGTCTTGCGGCTCTCAGACATTTATTCTATGTGGCTCTTATGTTAAGGAAGTTTGGCCACGGCTGCACTACACCGTGCTGGCTCTCAGCTTACAAAACTAAAATCCTTACTGCCCTCTTTGGCTTGGCTTCCTTCCAGTTGAGAAACTGAATTAGTGACGACTCGGTCAATGCGTTCAGAAATTCTTTGTTCGGAACCTGTGTAATTTCTTTAAAACCGTTCTTAACATTTAGTACAAGGACTGATAGTACAGATCGCCGCATCCCAAGAAAGTAGTACTAAAAGGGCGAACGTGATATTAATCACTCCAGTACAGGATAAATAACACTCCGCTTCCTGTAAATTTATCTGGTAATTGATGGTCCTCTCTGGCTCTGACAAAGCCAGCTAGCTTTACAAAAGTGCAGATGTTCCCCACATTTTAACGAGGCGCTTGTAAAAGCTTGGGAGAAGCTTCCCCCAAAGGCCGACTGTATTTAATCTTGCTGCACGAAACACATTTTCAGTAAATTCCAAATCGCTTCGCTCAATTTTCCCCTTTTGTATTACAAAGGGGAAGAAAAAGGTTACTGTATCTTTTTGGTAATTCATAACCTGTGATATCCTCCGCAGACTCTTTCCAGTAAGTGTGAACTCTGGGGCAAGCGGCCACCAAAGCTAATAAAATCAGCCGCTTTTAAAAAGAACGTGTTGACCTGATGTGAACTGAACAGAGTGACTTCTCAGCCTGGAAAGGCAAAGCCACATAAGCGCTGTCGTCACGATCTGTATGCTTTTTCCCCACTGGGTGTCACTACATCTCAAAGCGGTGATGCCTGGGAGATTGTCCACAGTTTTGGGCAATAAATAAATGTGCATTAATCTTCTCAAGCAACAGGGGAACTGGAACCACACCGTTACATACCGCTGGTGCACAGTAGGTGCAACCTGCTTTAAATGTCCTTCCTGTACACCGTACTTTCCTTGGTCACATCCAAATTCTAACATAATTACATCACAACTTGTACTTCCTGCATTTCATGGACCTCTGACTAGGGATGCCAGCCTCCAGGTGGGACCTGGGGAATCCCATAAGAACATAAGAGAAGCTGATGTTGGATCAGGCCAAAGGCCCATCCAGTCCAACACTCTGTGTCACACAGTGGCCAAAAATACCAGGTGCCATCAGGAGGTCCACCAGTGGGGCCAGGACATTGGAAGCCCTCCCGCTGTTGCCCCCCACCAAGCACCAAGAAGACAGAGCACCCCTTGCCCCAGACCAAGAGTTCCTATCTACGCCTTGTGGCTAAGAGCCACTGATGGACTTCTGCTCCAGATGTTTATCCAATTCATAAGAACACAAGAGAGAAGCCAATGTTGGATCAGGCCAGTGACCCCTCCAGTCCAACACTCTGTATCACACAAGGTATAGATAGGAACTCTCGGTCTGGGGCAGGTGATGCTCTGTATTCTTGGAGGTCAACAGTGGGAGGGCTTCTAATGTCCTGGCCCCACTGGTTGCCCTCCTGATGGCACCTGGTATTTTTGGCCACTGTGTGACAGAGTGTTGGACTGGAGGGGCCATTGGCCTGATCCAGCATTGGCTTCTCTTATGTTCTTATGTTAAATCCTCAGCCATGTTCACTCAGAAGTCAGTCTTATATCAATGGAAGCACCTTCCTAGGCAGCGTGTTTAGGACTGCCGCCATACAGCTCTTCGAGTTACACTCTCCCCACTACAATGTCACAGTTTGCAGAATTCTCAACGGATTTCAGGGAGCGTTAATAGTGATGCCCTGACCTGGACCGCCCAGGCTGGCCCGAACCGGCCCGTCCAGGGCTCTTATGTGGCCCACGAGCAAATAGTGCAAGGGAGGGGAGGAACAGGAGACTGCTCAGGGGGAGGGAGCAGAGCCCCTCCAATTGTGGCTTCAGCAAGAAGAAGAAGAAGAAGAAGAAGAAGAAGAAGAAGAAGAAGAAGAAGAAGAAGAAGAAGAAGAAGAAGAAGAAGAAGAAGAAGAAGAAGAAGAGGAGGAAGAGGAGGAGGAGGAGGAGGAGGAGG